AACAAATTTTTACTATTTATTTTATTAAAATTACTATTAAAAATTATTTTTAATATAAAAAATTAAATATATTAAATAATTTCAAAAGAATGTAATTTTTGGAATTTTGTATTAATATTGTTGTTACTTGCAAATTAATAATTTAATGTATTTTGTTTTTGGTTATTAAATATCTGTCTTATAAAATATCAGGTCCTATAAAATAAAACCTGTACTTTTAATAATTATTTTTACAGTTTGTTTTGAAATTTGTAGTTATTCTGAAAATTCATTGGATGTAATATTATTTACTTTTTTCATTTGTTTAAACTAATCTTAAAGTAGAAGTAAGTGATTACAATTGCTTAATAATGTTTATATTTTTACATCAACATTTATGTTAGAAATTGATTTATCAAATTCCTTAGTATATACAAAAATACTGGATTAAACTGGATTATACTGGAAATACAATTACTATTTGAGAGTCAGTCATTGTACACTTTACTCCATAAAATCTGAAATTTTGTTAAATAAAACAAGAGAGAACTTTTTCTAGAAGTCAAATATTTTATTAAGTACATTACAAGGCTCTCATAATCAGAATATTCTAAACAACGTACATTATTTAGAATACTAGTTGTATCCAACAAAATATTTGCTGGGTACAACTGGGTATATTTTTTACAGCAAAATATTTCAATATTAAACTTTATTTATAATAGGCTATGCCTGTTACAAAGAGGTGGAATTATGTGATACTTTATAATTACAATATAACATCTCTTAAACAATACAACCACAATTAATACAATCTCATAATTAATTAATAATATCAAGATAAATTACAGAATTAATATATTAAATTGATTAACAGTAAAATATTTTTGAGCATAGTTATAAAGATTATATATAGTAGTCTTTTTAGCAGTATGAAAGAACAAATACATAAAAACCTCGCTATTTTTTAAAAATAAAGTTTCAAGATTATATCGTTTACGTAATTCTTGAGCTTTATTACAAGAACAAGTACAAAACAAATGAAACTTAGACATAACAACATTACAACTTATACAAAATAGTTTTGAGAATTGATAAATACTTTTATTAATCAGAATAATTTCTCTATTTAATCTTAATTGAATAAAGAACTTTTTAACATTAAAGGATAAATCAGAACCCATATAATTATTGATGTTTGGATAATCAAGAATAATATTATAACAAACAGAGTTATTATGAATCTTAATATCATGTATATCTTGAGATAAAGATATTTCAAAAGTATTCTTAATCAGTTGTACATTATATATCTCATTTAATTCTGTATTATATATGAACGGAGCTATTGAGAAACCAAACATATTAAATAAAGTGGACAACTGATAGACCCAATTTAATTTTGACTTATCACTAAGCGATTTTTTATACTGTAAATTCATCAGTAGAGATGGAAGCGATCCATTGTCTCTCAGTCGGCTCAAAAACTTAATATATCTTCTCATAAAAAAAGGGCCCAATTTGAATCTATTTAATTCAAGACATAACACCACACCAGGGACATTAAAATCTAGCGAAAAAACCTTACGTATAAATTTATTTTGAATAATTTCCAATTTTTTAAAATACCAAGCTCCTAATAGGTGCAGCGTATCCACATGTATTTAAAACAATAGAAGAAAATAATCTGAATTGAACTTTAATATTACAAATTTTTAATTTAACAAATAGATTAACTAAATTGTTAATCAAGGTAGATGCTTTAGTTTTTACTCTCTTGAATAGTTTCTCGAACGACAAGGTAGATGTAAACACTATACCCAGAAATTTCAATTCTGAGACAACTAAGAGTCTTTCCTGATTAAGAAAAAAAGACATATATTTTTTTGGTAAATTTGGTAATATTTGCTGCAAAAATTATTCTTAAATTACAAATAAAGAGCAAATAAATTTATTTGCACAAAATTTTTTGGTATGTGAGTAGTAGTGGTTTGAGTAGCACTGATCACAAAATTAATTTTCAGATAAAAATTGAGTAGCACTGATCACAAATTTTAATTAAATTAATTTTATTTTAACAATAAGTTTAATATATTCCATTTAATTATTAAATTTATTATAAAATTAAGTCGTACTAGTTTCTAATAATAATTTTTTAAAATAAAAATTTGTTGAGTAAATTAAAACGTGACAATTTCAAATAATATAACATCCAAACAAAATTTCTTAGGCCATAGTAATCACAAATGTTAATGAAATTAATTATCAAATGTTTTTTACAATTAATTATTTTTTCTAAGCGAGTAGGTGTCAGATTTTTTCTAATTTACTTTATGAACTAATTTTTGTTTTGATTATAATCATGTTCTATCTGAATTATTTTATAGATCTGAGAAAATGAAAACATGACAATTGTATGAAATAATATAACATGAAACAAAATTATTTAAAAAATTTTTTTATTTTTACATTAATATCAGATGTCGATTAAATTAAGATTACAAATAATTTATTGTGTTTAATTTTCAAATTAATTTTTTAGGTTATAAATTATTTTCAGATCAAAAATTTCTTGGGTAAATAAAAATTATAAATAATTTTATTCTCAATTCATTTAGAATTGAGAATAAAATTTTCTTTATGTTTTCATAAAACATCTTGTCATTCAATTCAATTTTCTTTAGTTTTCATAAAACATCTTGTAACAATAAGGCAAAGTTTAATATATTCTTTCTAATTATAAAATTAATTTGCAATAATAATTTTTACAATTTGTTCTAATATCCAAGTAAATTAAAACATGACAACTTAAAATAATATTTTAACAATAAGACAAAGTAAAATAGGGAAATAGTTCAATATAATAATTATTTAAATTATAAATTTGTTACTTATTTATTAAATATTGCAAAGAGAACAATGCTTTTTATAATATTTGTGGCAATAGCAATTTGTTAAATATTATCTGATCTTTGACACCAAAGAAGTTTGATGTCTAAATAATTGTAGTTCCAGTTTTTAAAAAGTTTTTTTTTCTATCTGTCCACTTAAAAAAAAAAAATTATTTGTTATATGTTGTGAAATGATTTAATAACTTTTGTAAATTACTATGTTCAATCCAACCAGTTATATCCAATGTTTTTCATCTATAAAATTTAATCCATGAATTTTTTTTGGTAGTAAAATCGACTTGCCATTGATCTTTCGCTGATAATTGATACTTTTTAACAGAATCTATATAAATGTCTATTACAGCTTCTATAGGACTGTGTAATGTTTTTATGGACAACTGTCAATAACTTGAAATGCTTCAAAATCTATTAGCATCACATTCTGTAATTTTATATAAATAAAAATTAGGATTAGTATTATTTTCTTATTAAATATAAAATAATAGATTTCTTGGATACTTGAAATATACTTGATAAATGAAATGTTTGACTAATGAAAGAAGACTATTTCTCGCTCTCTTTTTAAAATGAATAATAGGAACTGAAGAATAACACAATTTGAAAGTTTTTTGTTTGATTTTAGACATGGGAAAAATGGCTTAACTCCCTTACATTTAGCTGCCTTAAATGGTTATTTAGAATGTTGTAAGAAGTTAATTGAAGCAGGTGAGAAACTCTATTTCATATAATTATAAATTATAAAATTATATTAAACCAAGTTTTCATGTAACCTATTTTTTAATGACATTTTTTTTCTGTTATTTTAAACATTTTTATATTTTATTAAATTTTCTGTGTTTAACTTATGGAATTTATTAAACTTAAAACAATAAATTAACTAAAAATAAGTAGGTAACAAGCCTACTTATTTTTATTTATTTAGTTTTAATTTATGATTAATTTTTCTAATATAAAGTGCTTCACAGATATATATATATATATATAATATTCATCATCTCCATCTTACTTTAGACTATTCTGTTGCAATTTGTTCACTACAGCATACTACTTCCTTTTTTTTCCCTATCTCTTCTACTGTTTTGTATCTATTATTTTAATATTCCTAATGTTCTGTTTTTTTTGTATATAAAAAAAGCTAAATAAATTTATTTATTTTACTTATTGTGTAACATTTTTGAATATCTGTGTTTGTTTTCCAGATAAAATTTTTCATATGACAGTTTAGTTTAGTTTAGTTTTCAGTCATAGAGGTTTTAAGATGTACTATCTTTATGTGTAATTAATAGAAAAGATATTTTTATATTAAAATTATTAAGAATAAGGTTTTAATTTTTAAAATTAATAAAACTAAAATAATAATTAATAATTACAGCAATTCTATGAAAGCATAGGTATGAAGGACAAATACAGAAATAAAAATATTTGAATTATGTTTGATAGATATTGATATTATTTGAAATATGATGTTTTATAATTCACAGTATTAATTCATTTTTATTAAAAAAATTTACAAACTTGAAATTCTTATTCTTTAATGTGTGAAAAAATTTTTTATTTAATATATCTATATTCAAATTTATTCTTAATTGTACATCACAACTTTAACTTTTGTGTATTAAAAGTCAGTGTTAAATAACTTTTAAATGTAGTAATAACTTTGTTTATTTATTAATCTATGCATACACCAAACTCCTGATTATTGATTCATTGTCAAAATATTAGAGTTACTGTAAAATGACAAACTATTATAAGCAGCATTCAATTCTTTTTTTCTCTCACAACTCTCACTTCTAAGGGATGGAAGTGAGGTGAGTCATTAGTCCTGGAATATTATTTTGAAGGAGGCAAAGTTGGTGCTCTAAACAACAGATTTGAAAAAAAATATATCATACTAGTCGTAAAATTAAAATATAGTAATTTGGAAAAAATGTAAGAATTATACGTAGAAATGGAAAATTTAAATTTCTACATGATAATTTTGAAAATAGGAGAAATCTACATTTTACGTTTATTGAGTAAATATACATGTCATCTTATGAAATTTGGGACTCACACTTGCATCATGTTATAATGGAGTTGAACTGTATATATACTTAATTTTTTAAACCTAAAATTTTTGACTTTTTCAGTAACTTACATCACATGAGGAACTTATTGATATAGACTATTAATGGATATGGATTAATTTCAATTTGTATTCTATAATCAGTTAATATCCGCATAAAAAATAAAAACTGAAGAGGGGTCATTAAGACCCGAAATGCATATCCGCATTCAGTAATAAAGTCTATTTCAATAAAAGTTCCTTGCGTGATGTAAGTTACTGAAAAAAAGCCAAAAATTTCAGGTTTAAGAGATCGACAGAAACTGGTAACAGAAACGATCAATTAATGCATATATACTATAGTTCATTTAAAACTTCTTAATAGTTTTTTTTATAGTTTAGAGGGTATTTTGGATTATCTATTTTTTCCAGTTTTTCCATGCACACCTGTGCACTAATTAGCATGGATAATCAGGAGTTTGGTGTAGTTATAATTTCTAAATTTGTTTTATTATTTTAAAATAACAAATCTTTGGAAAACAAAATATTTGTACTTTCAAATATTTCTACAAGTATTAGTTAAAAACTTGAAGACCAGACAATATGTCAGTTTTAAAAATTTCTACTTTCATATTTATATAAATAATTAACAAACATTAATTGAAAGATGTATGTGAAATAAAGTATAAAAACAATATATTTTCAGTTGGAAACAAAAAAATTTAAATTTTGTTTATTGCAAATATTCCATTTAGATTTTCCACAAATAGGCTACTTTAGAAAATTATATTGGCATAGGGACTGTTAATAGACTAATTTATAATAAAAATCTTGATTGAGATTGTAAGTGCAGGTAATTATTTATGATTTTCATAAGTTTTGTTAAAAATTTGTCAGAAGAAAAACTAATAAATTTGGATATAAAATATAAAAAATATTTCAATTTTGTATATCATATTGATAAATCAGTAATCATGGTTACATATTAAAATTATAAATGTTATCAATACCAATTCATTGCAATTGGCAGGTTCTGTAATTGTAATTTCTGTATCACAATTGTATTGATTTAACACAAGCAATTATTTCATCTTCTGGCTTTTGTATATAAAGAAGTTTATTTAATTATCAGTGAGCAACTAATAAATTGATATGATTAAATACTTAGTGAAGTATCATTATGATCAGTAACTAAAGTGATAAAAATATTTTTTCTTAAGGTGTTGATTTGAGTACAAAAGATGATAGAGGTCGTACTGCTGTCCATTTGATTGCCTTTGCAGGGTAAGGATAAATATATAATTGTTACTTACTTCATGTACAATTAATTAACTGAATTTATCAGTTCAGCTTGATGAATTACATTATAAAACATCAACATTAAATAGTAAATTTGGTGGTTATATGATTAAATTTTATTATTAATAATATATTATACTGTATAATTAGAATATTGTGATATGTTCAGATTAATGAATTAAATGTTTTAGAAATTTAAATAATAACGAATAAATATATTAAAGTAGCAATTACTATTAAGTTTATAAATTCATATTACAAAAATATTTTAAAAAGAATTTGTACCTTATTTTAATTTTATAATCGTCACTAACCATAAATTTAATATAAAATACATGTAAAATAATATAGTTTATAATTTAAAATATCAATTTTTGTCTATAATATTTTAAATAAATTTACTTCAATTAACAGAAGTTTGGAGTGTCAAGAATTGCTCATTCAGCATGGTGCTGATTACAATATCTGTGATAGTTTTGGAAGGTAACTGTTTAAATATCTTTATTTAGAATGTTACAGATAGAAATAAGATTATTTTATAACTAATGTAATTATAAAAATTGAATATAAATATTAATAATATTGGTAGAAATAGTAAAAAACAATGGCCAATGGTTATTTACATTTAATATACAATAAAATATAAATACAACTATTTCACAAAGTAAAACCTTTGCTTTTGTTCTTCTTCCATTGTTTTTCACCATCAGCAGTCCATGAAAATTTACAAAGATACAGAGATGACCTTCCTTTTGAGGCTACTGCCTTTGCAATAAATTATGTCACAGTATTGTGAACCGAGGGGTAGACCGCCGAGCTTGTCCCCACTTATTGGCTTCTTTGTCAGGGATAGTCCATGTGATAAACGAGTAGGAGGGTTAGCGAGGTCGTGATAAGGTGTCAGTTGTACTCAAGGATGACACATAATTAAATATAAGAATAACATATTTAATAAAGTATAAAGTTATATAAAATGAGTACAAAATGATGGCTACAAAAATGGGAATAAATCAAATTGATTCTAGGTCGTGACAATGATTAATCTATTCTTGTCGTTAGACTGTCTAAGTTCTGGACTTTTATCTGGCCCAACATTCTCTAAGTTAAACTAACCTTAATCTAGCTTATAACTAAGAGAAAGAGAGTTTACAAATAGTTGAAAATACTACCTCTGGGTTTCCTGATCTCATTGTATGGCCATTGGTAAAATGTTCCTGGATCGGCAGAGTTGGCCATTGGCAATTATGGCGAGGTGGCAATGGACAGAATGGCAGTATGGATCTGATGATGTCCGCCCGGAGGACTGTGTCCAAGCCTTTTTTATACACGTCCCAGAGGGGGAACTATAGGGAGAAATTCTGATGCAATCCCGTCTAAGTCTGATTTGTGTCCGGGTTTTATGTTAATTGTCAGAAATTGAAACATTTCTTTAGATTTATTACCTCTTTCTATCAATTATGATTACTCATTCTACCTCATAAATTGCTGGATTAATTGTTGGAGGTGGCTAAGGTCAGAGTTTGTCTTGTAACCTAAGTAATAATTGTTCCTTATATGGTCATAAAATCGGATGAAATAGGAAGTGTGTGGGCTGTGTTTTTCCCTTTCCCATCTGAAAGTTTAACAGGTCACTTCTTGAAGTGATGCAGAAAATTGAAGGGTTGAAAGGTCTAATTTTGATCTCCCAGAAAGGGAAACAGGAGGAAGAAGGGAAATAATGATTGAAAAAAATATTGAGCTTTAAAATTCACAAAAGAGCTTAAATCCTCACAGTATCTGTAAATTTTCATGGACTGCTGATGGTGAAAAACGATGGAAGAAGAACAAAAACAAAGGTTTTACTTTGTGAAAAAGTTGTATTTATATTTTATTGTATATTAAATATTAATAATAATTAGAAATTATCCTCATTTATGTTATATTAGTAAAATTAATAATATAATTAATGCTTGTTTATTGCTTGAAGTGTTCTGAAAATAATGAAATTGTTCTATATGAGAAACAATTATTTTGGCAGCCAAGAAAAATTATATTAGATCTGTCATCAGTTATTAGCTCTAAGTAGTAGATGCAAGTGTTATCTGTGTAATTAAAAATCAAATAAATAAACATTGTAACATAACAACTTAAATTGAAAGATGATATTAAATAATTTAATGAAACAGAATTTTTTCTTACAGGTTACCTATTCATTATGCTGCCAGTCGCACACACCATAATTGTTTATTGTGTTTACTAACTGCTAAAACAGAAGTAAATAGAAGAGATATTGACGGATGTACACCACTTCATTATGCAGCTGCTGCAGATACTGAGGGCCGGTAGGAAAATATTTAAAAGATTCTAAAATATTTAAATAAAAAATATGCTTTAATAATGTTTAAGTGATATTTGATATTAAACACTTTCATGATTAATTTCTTAGAATGTTTCAGATTTATGTTTTTAATTTTGTTATATAGAAAAAATTAGAAATATTTTATTATTCAATGAATAAATGATGCTTGAATTGACTGGTACATACATTAAAAAGTATTATGCATAAACTTACAAAATAGTTTTCATTCATTGATGGGAAAACGGGATATATGTCAAGTAAATAAGCACAAAATATCAAATTCCAGCAAAAGCTATTCTAATTTTTTAAGTACATTTGTTACATCACATTCTGTTCTATTTTTGAACGTCTTCAGCCTGACAATGACTGTTTAACACAGGAGAAAATGTTTGATAGAGTAAGTTCTGTCTTTTTCTGCTGGAATCTGGTATTTTGTACTTATTTACTTAGTTTCCATTTATTTTGCAATTCTCTTTTTGTATGTGCATTGAGTCTATAAAATTTAACTTAATGCAAATATGTTGCAAATTTAGATCTTGCTGGTTAAAATATTACTTGCTTTGTACTGCCATTGGCACAATGTGCTAATTTTAGAAATATAAATAAAATTACAAACCTGTAATTTATCTGAATGATTACTTTAGTGTCTGAAAATTTAAATTTTATGATTATTATATGAACCAAACCAAGTGATTTTACATCATTTGCATATGCTGAATATGAAAAGGAAATTACTTTATTATGTAAGGATTTCTTGCAAAACAGTAACATTTACATTTATACTTTTACATTTTATGAAAATCAGTCATTTATTTTCAAATATGTGTTTTCACTCAGTAAAAGCTACAATACAGATTATATAAAATTACACAAAATATTAATATCACTGTAAAGGTTTTGAACAGTTTTTTTTAACCTCTTAAGTAGCTAACAGTAATCAGCAAGCATGTTGATGTTCCATTCTCTCAATTTGCTTTACATCTTTTCGGAATCTTTTCCCATGTTCTTCACTTAAGAATCTAAGGATTTGAGAAGACTAATCAGATGAGACTGTAATAAATGAAGTTTCAAACTCATTTTACAACTGAGGTCCTTGAATGCATCTAGCACTTTGTTGATAATATTTGAACATTTGTATAATTTGAATCTATCATATTATGAAGAAACTTCTTATCATTATATTTAAGAGCTCTGCCAGACTGCCTTTTCTATTATATTTTCAAATACAGCATCATACACAAGTTTCCAAATAGGACCTGTGAATATATTCTCTTATGTAAATGCTAGAAATTTTTACATATGTATTTAAAGCTGATCTCTTATTTATGTAGAATCTTGACAAATTGTTTCATCATACCAAGCTTATTATGTAGAGAAGACATAATCACTTTAAAAGTGACTTAGAAAACTCCGCTCATTTTAATAATGTGAATCTCCTTATATATTCTAGAAACATATCAAATATTGTGAAATGACAAAGAAGTCTTGATTTTGAAGAATGGTTTGCATAATTACACATCAACTCATAATAATTCCATGCTTTTCTGATGAACAGCGCATTGAGAATTTGTAAAACTATACAAATTAAAAAAAAAAATATGTGATATGAAATTTCTGGTATTGACTTTGGACTTGGCAAGCTAAAATTTGCCTTAATGAATATATGAGAAAATTGAATGTAAGATACATTATTTTCAGATTTTAGCATCAATGAAAATATAGTACATTTTAGATTCAATGTAGTATGTCACAATTTGTGACCTCTAGAGCCATGCATTTTATTTCTTTGTCACTCATACCATTGTGTCATTTTAATGATTTTATTAGACTAATATTCATAATAGTAAATATTTAAGAGATTAATTTAGCTCAGTCTTATTAGTCTATTGCAATAACATTATAAATGTTTGGATAAAAATTTCATAAAAATTGTGCAGCACTTTTCAAGAAATGTTGAATTTTTAATGCTTTAAATGACACTGAAGATGATTGTGTGCGGAAAATGTGAGCATTGGATCCAGTGTTGATTCAGAACTAATACAGAATGTGAAGAGGTTTCCAACTTTAGTATCACAAAAGACAGTGCTGTATAATTTTAAAATAAATACTGAACAAATTTATATTAATAGAATCAGTTTTGTTGATGCAAATTTGTTTCAAGTTGTCTGTTTTTACAAAAAAAAAAAAAGAAACTGTGGGTGAACATGTAGAAATTAAAGTGCATCTCAGATTTGACTAAATACAGTTTAACCCGATTATAACGACATCGGATGTAATGACAGCCCTAATATAATGTCAAATTTTTATCGGTCCCATGATTTTACTATACTAGATAATGTTAAAAACTCACTTGTAATGACATAAAACCCTGTTTTAATGTCATATTTAAAGCACTCTCAAATTTACAAAATTAAATTATAAATTTTATTTATCAAAGAAAATACTACGTGTTCAGTCCTAGGGTCAGAGTCCGCTTCCTAGAATGATTGTGAGTGGTACTGTCACCACCTGATTCAGTGGTGTGAGATGCGCCACCCCTTTAAATGACATGACAGTGGGTTAGTCTGCATAGCTCTCATACTCATGTTGTAGTTTAGCATCAAATCAAGTAAAATGGCTAGCTTAAAAAGGAAAGCGTTAACGTTAGACTGCAAAGTAGAAATAATTAAAGCAGTTGAAAGTGGAAGAAAAAAGGCAGATGTATGCAGAGACTTTGGTTTAGCAAATTCTACAGGTCTTGTAAAACTTCATCGGAAATAATGAACAAAATTTACGACTTAGAAAATGACATTGATAAACAATTTTTAGGTGAAAAATGCCTACAATCTAAAATAACTGACTTTTTTTAAGTGAATATTTTTATTGTTTCTTTTTAATTGATATACATTAATTTAACCTAAAAGTGAAAGATATTGGACTTCATGTCTATTGATAGATAAGCAAGAAATGAGAAAATTATCATCCAGGCGTTAATAACACCTGGATGATAATTTTCTCGTTTCTTGCTTAATTTGACTTTTTGTTGCCTTTTGATTTGACATTATTCTCAAAACCGAAAGTGCCACCATTATCAAAACTTGACATATAAAAATTTCTTATAAAAGGTAATTTTTGAAATTTTTAATTACATTGTTGTAAATTTAGACATAATAATGTAAATAAAGTTGATTTAAACATTTAGTTTGCAATTTTATATATACGATATTAAATTAGATGAATTTTATAATAGATTCTTAAATAGACTTGATACTTTTATGGGACTGAAATTATGACCCCGTAGATAACAACACTTGGTTATAACGTCAAAAAATTGCCAGTCCCATGGATGACGTTATAAGCAGGTTAAACTGTATTATATATAGCTGAAAACATTTCTTTAAATATATTTTTGTTTGAAAGTTCATATTAGACAGGTGTGGCCAATAGTTTTTCCCCGGCTCAAATTGGAAAGAAAACTTTTTTCACGGGCTGAACCAGAGGCTGCCCTAGAAAGATTTTGAGGTAGTGCGAGATCTCATTGTGGTGTCATCCTGTAGAGACTAAATTGTACATAGAGATTACAGATATATTTTTCACATTATCATGCATTATCAACATTCTACGCTGTACTTAGGAGATTTGTAATGGAGGGTTAACTCTAAACGCACAGTGAGTTGTTGACTTTTTTTTTTTTAGTCATCAGAATTTTTCATTGAGCTATTTGGACTTGAGTAGCTAATATTGAAAGATTAATCATGGGTCGCATAAATTCATTAGATGGACCGTATATTTGCCATGCCTGTATTAGACTCTACTTTTTAATGTAATATAACTTAAAGAATGATATATATTCAGTGTGACCATATTGTTAGCAATAAGGTTTTTTTATTCTGAATGTTGCATTTCATATTTCATGGATGTAAAAATGCTAAGAACGTTAGGAATTTTAAAATAATGATACATTTTAAAAAAACTGGAAAAGCTTCATAATTTTAATAGCAATGAAAGGTATTTAATATGTGTATTAAATAATTAGTAATAGTTTATGATGGTAATGGCCAATTATAACTTTAGGACAAAGACAATGCTTATTAGAGCTTCAAAGGGTCATGTAAATTCATATGAATATAAAGTAAGACAATATAATATATAAATGTTGTTTGGTATAACTGAATAACAAAATAAAAACAATTAAAGATTAACATTACATCCTGTAAATCACTAGTTAGCTAATAGAGGATATAATAGTTATGAATTTATTAAAAATAAACTAAAAGTGATATTTTACAAAAAATATAAACAGTGAAAAAACCATTTATATATTTATTCCAAAAATTTTATTTGCTTTCATAAAACTAAATAAATTACAAACTTACTACTACAATACCTGTGCATTTGCTGAGAGAATTTTTTATTAACAAATGTTTTCAGCTTTACTACCATAGGCCGCCATCAGGTTTTTAAATCCGTTTTTAGAAAATGTTTTACAAGTAGAACATTCCATTTAAATTTTAACTTTTGAAGTATTCTAAATACAAGTTTAACAAATTAAATAAATAAATTATGAAAAATATAAGGTTAATAATAAATAAAAATAAACTTAAGAACACAAAATAAATGTCTTCTAAGTATTAACTTAAACACTGTATTGAGTAATAAACATCCACCAACAAAACCTTTTTCATCAGTTTACCTTTTTTTGTGTTGAATACAATACTGATAAAAAAGGTTTTGTTGGTAGATGTTTATTAAACTTAAGAATAATATAAAATAAAAACTATGAGAGTATAACACAAAAGCTAAATATGATTATAGGCAGACACAATTCAGAGGTTTCTATGTCCCAATCTTTTTTCAATGATGCATTTTCAAGCTAAAGGTAATGAGTTAATATCCCTCGTGTTTAGCTTTTTGATCTTGTTCTTGTATATTTCTATTTTTTCCATATTCATAGCAATGATTGGAGAATGTACCTTTTTAATAATGTTTGCTTCATCCCAATTT